CAAAACTAAATGGATGAACTAAAAGCCTTCTGTTATTTTTCCAACCTAATTTCTAAAGTGCGCCACCTTAGTTGTCACTTTCATCTGCCATTTCCTAATCCCGTCGATCCAGCTCAGTCCAATGAAGATTTCGGTATCTGTCATCTGTCTTTTAGAAACTGCCCCGTCTCTAAAGCGTACGTCATGGCAGGCCTAACCACCCTGGTGCGACTATGGTTTTGTCACAGATTCCCCCTGACAGTCACCTCCATCCTGTCTGCTCTGACTTCACCACTTTCCTCACCTCGTTTGTGCACCGTCCATTTCTAGAAGAGTGGACTGCAGGCACTTTAACTCATCCACATTTAATACCTCTACTCCTTGCAGCTTTATCTTTCCACATGGCTCGCTCTGGATTAAACACACATATTCTGCTGACCTTCCTTCCTCTTTGCTCTACAGCAAACCTGCACGTCTCCAGGTTCCCTTTTTTAACTGCTTCTTACTCTGCTCAGCGCTGGTCACCGATTTATCCCTCTGACAGCAAACCCAACCACTGTCCATGTGGCCTTACACATGTACTGCACCACCAAAGTACACACTGCCATGCTTGGATTACTCAGCCAGTAATACGGATCTGTCCCGGGTACCTTGTTCACAGTACTTATCAGAAATATCAAACATGTTTGACGTAGATTTTAAGCAGAACTTTTTCGGCTTAACAAAAGACAGTCAGACATAATCTCTGTGTTTACACCTGGATTTAAGCAGTAACTTGCCTTAGCACAGTTTGAAAGTATTAAAACCACTTCTTTGCTCTCCTGTGTTTGCTCTGCAACAAAGACGTTTTAAGGAAATTCGCAGTTATTTGTGAAACTAATTTGAATTTTCTTTCTTTCTTTCTTTCTGCAAAAGTCATATGGGTGTTATAATGATAATTTCCAGAATGATATCAGATACAGCTGGGAATTGCAGTGAGTGCACAAACGCCACTTTTAGATACAAGCCCCCAGGAAAACTAGAGCTGAACATGACATCAGTCCTAAGTAAACCTTATCGTGGACATGCTCAGTTTTTCACCAATACAGTTGTTTAACTTACAAAAAAAGAAACAAAACACAGTAACTCGTTCCACAGCTCGGTTGCGCTTCTGCAGTAATATTATGTTTAGGTCTCCGTTATGTTTTTTGTTGAGGTATTCAGGGTTTAATTCTTTAGTTACACATAATCCAATTATTAATGTTAAGATGACGATGATCAGTAGTGGTAGTAGAAGATATACTGTGGGTATAGTAGTACACTGGACTGGACACGAGCCCATCCTAGGGTAGATAAGAAGAACACAGAGTTTTCCATAGTGGTTCCTAAGAACATGAAAGTGATTTGATGATAAATTAAAAAAATGTCAGGATTAGGAAATCATCAAGTGTGCTCCTTGTGTGTCAAACAGGAAGTGTTAAGGTGTTGGTAATCTAACTATTGCATGCTCTAGTGTGGTAATAAACTACTCACATGTCTAGAGCTGTGTTCTGGTATTCAACTTTTTTTTGCAGTCTTTGTAAACATTCTAAGCTACTCCAGGACAAGATATCCACTTGGAAAATTTGTTTTAAGTTTCATTAACATTCCATTAGCTCTGAAGCCTGAAACCAGTCTTATTTGCGTTTTTGTTTTGTTTGTTTTGTTAATGAATTTGAACCTTAAGGCATTGAAATCTAATAATATTAAAAAATGTTAATACTTATAAAACCGTGTTATTTCCCTTATAACCTCTGGGGTTGGCTATTGAGCCTGTAAACCTCCTTCTCGGTAGGCCTAAAAATATATTATTAATATTAAAAATAATAATATAAAATATTATTATAGGTTTAATTTTATAAAATATTAAATATATTTACAGTTGGGCGGGGCAGCGAATTAATACAATACAACCATTTAATAATAAGAACATTATGATTTGTTCGATCAATACATTTGAAATGTAATTTGTCAGGGTTTTTGTTGGGCAACAAGTGGAGATTCTCATGCCCCCCTCCGCCCCCCTGTTATCCAGATTGTTCCTCAGAGGTCATCTAAGTGACTATTGTTCAGTCTCCTGCTGCTGCTGCTCCTGCGGCTGCTGCTGCTGCTGCTGCTGCCAGTAATCTTCCAGACACAGTGAGTGATCAAGACAAGCCAGTCTGATATTTTTAGGCAGTTCAGCTAATCTCGCTAATGAGACGAAGCTCACAAGAACTTGTGTCTGATTCAAGGAAGTCACGTGTGTGAGTGCGTGCATGTGCGTGTACTTGTATATTAACAGTAAGAGCCCATTTGTCGAATTAGCTCGCCGGTGTTGAAGTGTTCAGCGATTAGGGTCAATCTTTGTTAGTCAAGAAAGTCTCCCCCTCCCCCTCTACCTCGTCTTCTTAATGTCATTGCTTATGCGTAATGATCTGTACAAGCTTTAGTTGTTATTTTACAAATATTTAAGTGTAAAATACAAAAATGTTGCTTACACTACAGCTTATGCAATTGTTGGCAAAGATAGTCAAAAGGTGGCTATCTTTGCCTACACGTGTAAGACTGGTTTGTCTTAATGGCTCCAGTTAGCCAATTTGACTGCAGACCGTTGGCACATGCTGCAAGAGAGTCAGTGCAGCCTTCACTGAAGACCATGTGTTACGTGTGGAGGAGAGATAAGGCTTAAGGAAAGGAAGGGTAAAAAGATCATGGCAAGAGTTAGGGCAAAACAATTAGCCTTCCCTCTTCTAAATAAACTGATAATAATAATAAACTCTCTAAATAACTGAGAGCGCTTGATGTTGAAGCAAACGTTGTCCTTTTTAAACCAAAAAGCTGTTCTGCTCTTCTGAGTGTGCAAAAAGTAGAACATCTACAGAAACTAGGACCCACATGTCAAGAAAGAAGAACATGTAATGATTTGCTTTTTGTAAAATGTGCTCACATTTTTTTTAGGCTGTGTGAAACCTGGGTCAGTTTCGCACATGTTGTATGATATACTCACAGGAATTGAAGAAAGACACAATGAGCTCTTCATCGGTCCTGCTTATGACAACGATAACAACGATAAATTATTGCACTAAATAACAGTTTTCAGACCAATTGCATTTTCATTTTCAATTATTTTTGCCTCCTTTGGCCTAAATTTAAAAAATAATACAAAAGCCATTCAGCTCAGACCTTATCAAACGTGTAATCCACAGTTTTTGGTAAAATGCTACAGACGCTACAGCAGCCCTTCTGCTAACCGACTTTGGGATTAGCGGTCAAGGCATTGACAGATACAAATAATCCAGCACCTCCTGCAAGACCAATGTCCCGCGCCCCTAAGCTGTCAAGAAGGTGTTTAATGGTCTACGTGATCTTATCAAGAGTGAGATCTCGTAAGCCATCTATTTTTAGCTAACACCTGATGCAACATGGGCTAACGGCACAGAGCGATGGCAGCGTTCATCTGCAAACCTGAAGACGGTCTCAGTTGTCCAAGCCTTGACTGAGAACCATCAATAAGAGACAGGTGGTCACTTCTGGTGCTCAACATATTGCTGACAGTCACAAAGGCACGTCCAATGACAACAGGGCGTCTCATACCCTGAGCCATGAGGATGTTGTTATCTGCTTTTCATCAGATAAAGTTTCAATGAGAAATAATTCGACCCTCTCCATATAATCCTGTCTCTCTAGTTGTTGTCTTCATGCGCTGCCACATGCTGCAGTTTTGTAGAATTCCGTCTATGTGGTCTGGTTTTCTGACACTTTTATTAAAAACAATTATTAACAGTAAAGCCATAAACAGAGCTGCCCTTGTTCTGGGTTGCCTTTTAGGTTCTTTCACTGTTCTTGTGTTGTATCTTTTCGTCCTCGGACGTTGCTTTTGCTTTGAATAATGATAAGAATACATTAAGCTAGCATTGTTTATAAAAGAGTAACTCGTATTTGGTGGTTGTTTTAAGACTGTACAAAGAGCCACTAGAAATGCACACCCTGTCAGTACAGTTGCCTGGAGGCCTTTGGTCTGGCCTGTCATATCTAGTTAAATTGCAGAGTTAGAGACCTTCTGGTTGGAAGATAAAAAAACATCTATCCGCCAGGTTCTAGCACATTGACATGAATTTAAATATCTAGTCAACAAGCTAAATAAGCAAATGTAAGTTTAAATAAGCCGATGGCACAAGCTTCAATATGCAAACATTAGTTGGAGGAGCTCAGTAGGAGTCTAACAACAGGATAACTGATGGCACTGGTGCAAGTTTTCACAGTTGACAAAGTCTGCTTAACACTCTAGGTTGTGAACAATTTTGTAACACGTTAATACAATGTCAACAGTGGAAAGTCGCTCTGGCTGAGTTATGTCTACAAAGCCTATTTGTCATGGCTGTCAATGAGCTTTTAACTGCTGAGGTGTGTCCTTTCACTTGAAAACCTCTGTGCCATCTGTTGCACACCAGAGTTTGGTGTTAAATGAAATGTACTGGACAACAGTAGTAACAACGGTAACAACAACAACAAGAATAATGGTATCTTTTGACTGATACCATGAGTTTACGCTCTTTTTTCCACCATTTCTAATTGAAATTGTAGCTGCCCAATCCAGGAGCAAACAGATTTTGTTTTTGCTTTGAGTAAGTAAGTAAACACTTTCTTGTATGAAATATTGGGACTTTGAGGCACAATTTTACAGTACAAAGTGGTCTGGGGCCTATTAAATATTAGATTTGATGGAGTCCATTAATTGTCAAAAACCGATCACTCACTCGCTGCGACTAGTGCTGCATTATTAGGGTTGCCAACTGTCCGTTGAAAAACATAAACATAAAACTCTCATATTTAGAAACCAAAACAGAGCAAACCTGTTGTTAGCCTACTGATAACAAAACACTTAGTAAGTTTCTTACATAAGGTGGATTTGTACGAACAGGTACAACGAACACCACTTGTGACAGTTGATGAATGCTCCATGTAGTGTTTGTAAAAGCAGGTCAGTAATAACTGCTGTCTCACCTTCTTGTGTCTTCAAGGCTTCTTACTGTTCAAGGACTTCTGTATGAATGAGATCGACGAGGCTGTGCCACAGCTCAAGTTCTACGAAGAGGTGAGCGTCACCACTGTGCTTTTGTGTTTATTTCTCTCTTTTCATCCATCGACACAACGCCTAACGTTAGCCTGGGTCTGGTTCCAGATTAAGGATTATGAGAAGCTGGACTCGGAGGAGGAGAGATTGAGCCGCAGCCGGCAGATCTACGATGGTTACATCATGAAGGAGCTCCTTTCTTGTTCACATGTGAGACTGATGCACATCATGTTTGGGACAAGAAGCACACACACTCCAACCTACCTGTTTGAAATATAAAAGGAATTGGTGACGAGGTTTTACTTGATTATACATTAGGAGACTGAGTCTTTAAGGAAGGCTTACAGTTGTTTGACCCAGATGTTAGAAACCTACCCCCAAAGTCACATTTGCTAAAAGTAGAAAAATAGATGTTTCTAAAGTTAGGTCCACTTTGGTCTTTCCTGATTTGCTGACTTAACTACAACTGAAGGTTTTGTTTTTTTTTCCGGGTTTTTTCCAGCCATTCTCTAAGAAAGCAGTGGACCATGTCCAGAGTCATTTGGCGAAGAAACAGGTTCCTCCGACTCTCTTCCAGGTAAGTCCCTCTGACGTTACACATTCAGAACTTGTTGTGTTTATGTTGAGTTTCTGAATTCCACATAACTTGTTGCATAATCTGTATGTTTGACAAACGAGGCTGGATCAGTTTGTTTTCTGGGAGGCTGCTGTTTTTATGCACCTGGAGACGAGCGTGTGTGTGTGTGAAAGTGTCAAGAGTTAAAATAATAGGTGCACAAAAAGGTGATCCTACCGTCCTGTTCATCCAGGTTGATCCTAATCCAGAGTCACCACTTCTAACATATATGCTGTTTAAAGTTTTATGAATTGTGTTCCTCAAATTCATGAACAATATATAATCCTATATTATATTATTTTAATTTAGGATGAAATAAGTTTTCCCTTGCATTGAAAATGTTAAAAAAAAAAGAAGATTTTGACCTGAATATGTTAAATAAATATATTTTAAAACAAAATTCTTAAATTGTTCTGGTAAACGGACCATTTTGCACATTTATTTTGTATGAATTCACTCCATTGACAACCCGTGAGGATAAACACCAACAGGTGTCAGTAAAACAGTGTGACTGAGATCGACTTGTGATTTCCTGTTTGCCTCGTTGTTTTATTGACTTCTGCCTCCAACACATAAATACTGAGCGTACAGAAGCTGGTGAAAACCGGGTGAAAATGTTTGTGTCCTCTCTACAGCCGTACATCGTGGAAATATGTGACAGCCTGAGAGGGACTATTTTCCAGAAGTTCATAGAGAGGTGAGATGCTGACGTTAAAACGGGGAATTCTCTTTGTTTATTTAGTGTGTGACAATGAACTCATGTTCTCTTGTCCTCTCCGACTCCTTCAGCGACAAATTTACTCGGTTTTGCCAGTGGAAGAACGTGGAGCTTAACATCCATGTGAGTAGATGCTTTTTAATTAGATTTAAAGAGTTAATAAAAAGTTAATATGCACCACTTTATTCAATGGTAAGTGAACGTGATGGTGCTGGAGGTAGATGTTGTCGACCTGCTAATAGGCAGGTTTTGTTTAGTTCATCTAAAGTTGAATCTTTAGTTCATAAAAAATCTGGAAAATGTGCTCTAATTTGCAGTGATGTCTAGTACTAAGGGAAATGAAATGTGCATTTAACTCTCTGTTTCTTTCAGCTGACCATGAATGACTTCAGCGTACACAGGATCATCGGCCGGGGCGGCTTCGGAGAGGTGTACGGCTGCAGGAAGGCTGACACGGGGAAAATGTAAGATTCAGTGGTGCATGGATGCAGGACGAGAGATTAAACCATGAACAGCTCCCACTGACTGTGGTGTTTTACGTCAGGTACGCCATGAAATGTTTGGACAAGAAGAGGATCAAGATGAAGCAAGGAGAAACTCTAGCTCTGAACGAGAGAATCATGTTGTCGTTAGTCAGCACGGGGGTGAGTATGTGTGTTTGGTAAAACAGGACTCCTGCATTTACTGATCCACCGCTTCTAATTCTAATCACAGCTACCAGCAATTAACAATACAGTTTTTAAATACCTGACTAAGGTAAAAAAAAAGTCAACGACTCTTGAAAACAATGCACATGGGAAAAGACAGGTTTTGTCCCTGTGTGTGTCTCTGTAGGACTGTCCATTCATCGTGTGTATGACGTATGCCTTCCATACTCCTGACAAGCTCTGCTTCATCTTGGACCTCATGAACGGTAAGGTGGTCGTTTTACAGAGATTATTATTCAGTGTTAACCTCTCTGATCCTGGCTCTATAATTACATATCTATAGGTTAACAGTGAGTAACACATGAAATGTTTTAAAGATGCAGTGGATGGGAGCACTGAGATTGTAGAATAGTGTTCCAATCCTGTCCTTATGTGCTCACCTTGACTGTATGTTCTGACAATGCTTCGTCTCTGAGGAACTTGAGGATCACGAGGTTTTTTTTTCACTGGTGAAGTTTGGATGAGCCAGCAGAGTGGGCTATCAGCAGTTTAAATCATTCATTCTCCCGTGAATCACAAGTTGATGATGTTTTGACCTCAGACCGACCTCTTTACACTCCAGCCAACTGCCCGTGTTTGCCTTCCTTGAAGTCGTACCTCATCGTCAGTGTTTCCCTCAGAAAGAGCCGGTAGTCAGGATTCAGTCTCTGAGGCTGCATTCAGAGTTCCCAGACGGTCTCACAATCAAAGGATGAGTCACCTTTTAGAGTAGGCACCTCACACATCACCATCATCATCGTCATCCACATCATTATCATCATCGTCCTGGTGTCCAGTTGGCTCTAAATACAGCTACTTAAGCCTGAAGTCAGAACTACAGAAGGTTCCCATTGATTCTGAGACCCCCCCCCCGCCCAAAAGGACTAAAATAACTTTTTAGTTGAGTCACAGGGTGTTGCGAGGCAATGCTAACTCCGTCTTTTCTCTTATTTGTGTCCATTCAGGAGGTGACCTGCACTATCACTTGTCTCAGCACGGCGTCTTCATCGAGAAAGACATGCGTTTTTACGCCGCTGAAATCATCCTGGGTCTGGAACACATGCACAACCGCTTCGTTGTCTACAGAGACCTGAAGGTAGACCGACTGTTTCAGCACTCTGAGCTCTGTTGTCTCCAATAACTATTAACACCTTAGTGCAAAAATGTGGGTTACTTGTTCTTTTATCTCTGTGAACACACACACACACACACATGCAGGAGAATACCTTTGATCAGAGGTATTTACTCAGTGACACCTAAGATTATCACACACACATTTTTTTACACAGGAATTTTCTTTTTCTGGCCTGATTTTTAGCAATTGGAATTTTATCAGTCGATACACACTTTTAGTTCCAAAAGTGTCATCGTAGCAGATACAGGTCAGTGAGACTCACCCTGCGGAGGACAGACAGGGACACACCCTGTAGTAAACACAGTACAAATCAGGTCTTCGTTATTAAACCAATGACGGTGTACGAGCCCATGTTTTTATATCCAGTTTTTTATACTTTTTAAAAAAAAACCAAATACTACAACTTAAGATTACTTTTGATTACCTAACAGATGTGTGTATGTTTATTACTACTGTGCCACTCACACACGTGTGCTCGTGTGTTTCTCAACCTCAGCCAGCCAATATCCTGCTGGATGAACACGGCCATGTGCGTATTTCTGACCTTGGCCTGGCCTGTGACTTCTCCAAAAGGAAACCTCATGCCAGTGTGTGAGTATGACTGATACAAATATTTGACAGATCCAGTTGCTGATGTTGTGTGTACTCATGTACTTTGCTACCTTCATCTGTACCACACAGAAACCCTAACCCCCCCCCCCTCTAGTGAGTGGGGGTCCTACTGACCCCCACTCACATTAGCCCGTAGGCAAGTCAGCTGCCGCCTGGTTGCCTCCGACACATACGTCACTGCATTGATATACGACACACACATAAATCCTGACATCGTCAGTGACTGCGTTGTTAATACTCAGCCGCAGCAGCTGATGGACAGCGAACTCGACAACACGGCTGCGATGACTGTCTTGTTCTCAGTGAACGATGGTCAAAAAAGTCAGCCCTCACCTGTGTCTGGATCCATTTTTGTTTGTCGTTTACAGCAGTGAACCGTAACCAGTGAACATTTGTCATGACTGTGTGCTGTTTTTTTTTTTTTTTGCAGTGGTACTCATGGTTACATGGCTCCAGAGGTTCTGCAGAAAGGTACAGCGTACGACAGCAGTGCTGACTGGTTCTCTTTAGGCTGCATGCTCTTCAAACTGCTCCGAGGGTGAGTATCCTCTCCTCTCCTCTCCTCTCCTCTCTTCTCCTCTCCTCTCCTCTCCTCTGCTCTCCTCTCCTCTCCTCTCTTCTCTTCTCTTCTCCTCTCCTCTCCTCTCCTCCCCTCTCCTCTCCTCTCTTCTCCTCTCCTCTCCTCTCCTCCCCTCTCCTCTCCTCTCTTCTCCTCTCCTCTCCTCTCCCCTCCTCTCCTCTCTTCTCCTCTCCTCTCCTCTCCCCTCCTCTCCTCTCTTCTCCTCTCCTCTCCTCTCCTCTCGTCTCCTCTCCTCTCCGCTCTTCTCCTCTCTTCTCCTCTCCTCTCCTCTCCTCTCGTCTCCTCTCCTCTCCTCTCCTCTCTACTCCTCTCCTCTCCTCTCTTCTCCTCTCTTCTCCTCTCCTCTCCCCTCCCCTCCTCCCCCCCCCGCGCCTCTCCTCTCCTCTCCTCTCCTCTCTTCTCTTCTCTTCTCCTCTCCTCTCCTCTCCTCTCGTCTCCTCTCCTCTCCGCTCTTCTCCTCTCTTCTCCTCTCCTCTCCTCTCCTCTGCTCTCCTCTCCTCTCCTCTCTTCTCTTCTCCTCTCCTCTCTTCTCCTCTCCTTTTTGAATCTTCTCCCTCGTCCTCTGCATCTCACACCTGCTTTCTGACTGTTTGGATGGTGTTTGATGTTGTGCGGCTGTGCGTGTGCGTGCGTGTGTGTTGTGTGTGTGTTGTGTGTGTGTTGTGTGTGTGTGTGTGTGTGTGTGTGTGTTTGGTGTTGTTTGATCTTTGTTGTGTAAATGCCAGAGGTGTGGGCCCAGTGGGTCAGACAGCAGGTAAAAGTGGCCTGTGTTTCATTGATGTTTGAATATGTGTAGAATGAATAGAATGTCCTGGTCTATCTGTATCTGTATCTGTATATGTTTATGTATGTATGTGTCTGTCTGTGGTGTGTACGTGTGTGTGTGTGTGTGTGTGTGTTCCAACACTGAGGGGAGAGACTTATAGGAAACAGGCTCGGGGTTTGAAAAAAAAACCAAAAGTGTTTTTTTCTTTCTTTTTTTTTCAGTCAGTTTGTCAATAAGTTTCATAATGAACTTTGTTTGAAAAACAAAAACAATAAAAAGGACTTATTTTTAAAATATATTCAAATTTTAACAGACAAAGCAATCAGCAGTTCAGCAATTTTCTCAAGGCTTTCGTGTTTGGGACCATTTTGTTTCTTGTTAAATTGCCACATGTTGTTCATTAGCTTTTAGCAAATATCAAGCTAACTGTGAAAGTTACTAAAAAAGGTCTTTGTGGACAACCACGATGGACAGGGCTACTTGAATAAGTAATGAATGAATGAATGATTGAATAGTAAACAGTGAATGATTTTCATATACATATGTATATGTGTGTATATGTGTGTACAGTATAAATACTGTGTATATGTGTGTGTGTATATGTGTATACAGTATATATATGTGTGTGTGAGTGTGTTTGTGTATACGATTTATATAATGTACGTGTGCATGTAAATTAACAGGAGACGAGGTCAGGGTGCTGTGACTTCAGTAAGGTCTCCCTCCACTGTCTCTCTGTTTCTGTTCCGTTCTTCACGTCACGGTCGTCTTTCTCCTCTGTCCAGGCACAGTCCATTCAGACAGCACAAGACCAAAGACAAGCACGAGATTGACCGCATGACGCTCACTATGGTAAGACACGACAACACGCCGTCCCTGCACGATCCTCAGAGATGGTTTTACTGATGCTTGTGCCACATTCCAGAACATTAATCAAAGTAATTAATACTCAGGAGGCATTAGAGGCCGCCTTCTCAGGTGACGTGTGTCTACCCTGGCTAATGTGTGTATGTGTCTTTTTTTTTAAAGATATTTCAACTAAGAAGTTATAGCAATCGTTCCTAAAGTGGGGGATGGGACCCCCACATGGGGTGCAGACTTAAGGCAAATCAGTGAATCAATGAATATTTTCTGTATTTGCGACATAGGTGGAGAAAATGCACTAATTTGTCATGAATTTCTGTGGTTTTGTAGGAAGGCCGTAGTCAAAGCATGTCACAAAACATCTCTATCATCTGCAAAAAACAGTAGCTGGTCTAAAATGTTTAAGACAAACTCCAATCAGGTGTTGTTGCAGTTTGGTTTTGGTATGTGCTCCTGGAAAATGTCAGTGTTTGAAGCCAGGTTGACAGTCACCCCCCCCCCCCAAAGTTCCAGAACAATGACTAGAAAAAAGTACATCTACATGGACATTATTAGGGACCTTCATCTCAGTACAGTAGTACTCACCTTGTTTGGTAAAAAAAAATACTCATGAGTTTTATTGTATTGATAGGGTGTACTTGCATTATTATGATTTATTACCATTACATTAGTAGTTAATTTGTTGACAGTAATGTTGTTTATCAGCAGTCATTCGTGGGCCAATAGATCATCCAGTGAAATGGTCACAGGCCTACAAATGTGCATTGAATTTTAAAGAACTTGTTAAAAAACATCTTCTTTCAAAGCTAAGCAGCTTCACATGATACTTAGGACTTCTCTTCCACAGAGTTGCTCAGTAAACACGCTCTGAAGAGCTTCAGTCTTTACCTAACTAAATATATGGGTTTGGCCTGTGTTTGCCTCACAGTAATACAAAACGCACACAGATGTTAATATCCCTGTACGTAATGTGCTGTGTGAACAAACGCAGTAGGAATACCTGCTGCAGCTACAGGGCCGTGAAGGGGCCTCCGTGAGTCACATTCTGGTGCCACTTGTTATCTGTTTCTCCTGCACGTCCCTGACAGAGACAAATGTCTTTGCTTTGGTTTTTTTTTTCTGCTTGCCCTTTAGTGCATGTCTGCCTGTTACCATTTAACACCCAGCCAACTGTTTACTCTGCTATGTCATGGGAAGACACGGGAGATGAAGCATATGACAGAAACTCTGCTTAGATAAACGTAGCCAGCAGCCAAACTGGGATGGCAAAGCACACAACCCCCCCCAGTCTCCTGGAAAAGGCCCTGTTTAAAAAACAGAAAGAAGTACCTGCAGACTGAGTGTCAATACTTTAGGCTGTTGAAAATATTTGTTCTCTGATAGTGTCCTTACCCCAGTATATGTTCATAGGTTCACTCCAATAGGAGCGCCACGTCAAAATAACCAACTTCATGCTTTGTTGACAAAGACCTTGAACCAGTTTATGAGGTCATAAACGTCTCATGGAGACCTCTGCTGATGTTATAATTTTTCTAAGACATATTTGCATGTCCAGGAGTCCTGTATTACCATCTGGTCCTTTACAGGACATTGTGTTGGGCACACTGCTCACAGCACTGCAAATCACACTGAAAGCTACAACATAAAACACACTACAATTCACTACCAGCTACAAACATGGCTGCACACACTGTTTTGGCTTCGGAGCTACTAATGAAATGACCAGACTGAAGTGATCTGCGTACACTGAAAACGTTAAATAAATATTTACTCATAAACTGAAGATACTAAATATATACATATGTTTGGGTACTGATTAAATGCATGGAGCTGTCTGGCATAATATGATTTTATATATATCTGTATGTGTGTGTGTATATATATATAATCTACTTATTGAGCACCCCAGAGCAACGTACAGAACAGCAGAGTACATTACCAGCTACCACACACAACACAACAGTGTACACTACCAGTTAGTAGAGAATTGACAGAAAACAGATTTATTGACCAAAGGAGCAACAGTCAAAGTCCTCTGAGAGGAGGTGAAAGGTCGAAAGCGATTTTTTTCTTTCTTCTTCTGTGTGTTTGCCAATGTACTCTTTACCTTTGCTTGGCTTACACTGATATTACGTTTTTGACTATGACCAGTAGTCATAAAATGGGCGATAATCTTACGCTGCACAGAGAGAGCATTTACAAAAGAAAACACCGAGCCATCCATTAATAATACCATGAGCTCGAAATGAAAAATGAGAGGCTGCGTGATCAGAGTGCAGTAAAACTTGAGGCTGGTAGTACAACTGATCGCCGTGTTGTATTTGTTAGCGAAAGCTACGGGAGTCACATATGGAGCCTTACATGCTCGTGGCTGGACATGTGTATCTGTTTAGTCCCTCCTCTGTCAACGTAGTGACGTCATAAATGACCCGTCAACTCAACTTCGATTTTATTGTCAGATTAGTTGACGTGAAAAAGTCAGAAGTCGTGAATGTCCTACCACCTGCTGCTAATGTACAACTGAATACGATTGTGTTTACTACACTTGTTTCATTAATTTATGGGTGTGACTGAAATCGTACTCTGTTTACACTCCTTAGTGCTCTGTATAAACGTGTGGTTGAGACTCAAATTAATGGATTTAAGTGGACCGATGGAGTACAGGGGGTCGTCTAACAATGTCCTCAACTTACTGTATTTCGTAGTTACATTGCCATCTCCTATAAAATTCTATCATTCTTGTCTGTTTAGGTTCTCAGTCATCCAGGTCATTTAATCCAAAAATAGTTACATCGAGGGCTTCTTCAGTTCTGAAGAAGCCTCTTGGATGAGAGGTGAAACAAATTAAAAAAAAAAACCTACTTCTTCTTCCAGTTGCCCTCGATGTAACTATTTTTGGGTATCGTTATTGTTCTATCACTTTGACTTAGGCGTTAAAAATGTCCAACTAGTTCACATGGTAACTAGTTGACAAGCAAAGTGTACAAATACGTTGTCAGACGACGCTATATGCAGAAGACGTCTTTGTTTACGTTTGCCAGTTACTCCACACAGAGTTATTGTTTTGGTACCTCAAACAAAAACATTTTGTTCACCTTCCCATAGCAGCAGTAATCAAGAAAAATCTTTAAATATTTTAAAGTGAACATAATCTTCAGGTAAACATTTATGTTTTACCAAAAGTAAAAAAAAAATAATAAAAAACCCTGTCCAAAAAACCCCAACCCAAAACACTGAAGCTAACAAAATGCCTGTGAAACCGGTTTCGACTGGTTAGATCCTGATTTTCACGGACCATGTCGTACCTGTTTTATTAGTGTGTTGTCGCTTCATTGCTCTACAACAGAATAACACAACACCCACAAGTCTATGGCTGTCAACGTGTTTGATTCAGGTGTTGGTAGCCCACCCCCCGCTCTCAGTTCAGCTCCGTACCTAGCCTCCCCTCCCCTCACCCCCTACATGTTGGCAAATGTACTTACAAGTGTTATTTTTCATATCATAACAAATCCAGCTCAGGATTTTAATCTAGCTATTTTCTCTGGTTTATCCCTCACTGCGAGGCCCGTGTGATTGTATGAGAAAGCGGGACAGATAATTCCAGCGGAGAGGGGGTTATCTGAGGCCAGAGTACGCTAAAAATACGACTCTTTATGTCACTGGGTTTATTAGGGATGATGAATGGTCTACTGATATAAACACGATAGAAGCAGACAGTAGTTACAGGAAAAAGGCTGAAAACCAAACACCGGGGCAGAAGTGGAGGAATGGGACGAGTACTTCAAAGTCAGTCACTGCTTGAAAAAAAAAATCTATAAAGAATAAATTAAAAAAATGACCACATAGTAGAGATAAACACATGAAGCCAAATGGAGCGCAGAAGAACTGTGCTTGGACCACTTGTTGGTCCTGTTTATACTGAGAACATGTTCAACTCTAATCTTCTCAGTCTGGTATAAACCTTTGAATCCACCTGAAAAATGTCAACTTGGTAACTCCTTATAACGACGCAGTTTAAACTCAAGTCTAACAGACGTTAAACAGACGTCGGACGTGCAGCGTAAACACAATCACAACTGCTGAAATATACAATATACTAATGAAAATATTATTTTGAAAAATCTCAATATGAGTTCAATTTTAACTGAAATGTTGGCACATCATGCAGAGCATTGTTTCCCAAAGACTGGGTCGCGTCCCTCAGGTGGGTCGCAAGAGATTTTTTTGGGTCGTCTCACATCATGCTTCCCAGGAGTTTTTTACTGATTTGGGTCGCGAAGGCTTGTGAATTTTAAATTTTGGGTCCCCAGAAAAAAAGTTTGGGAAACACTGATGTAGAGGACATCAGGTGGGGCTAAAAACATCTACAGAAGACTAATGGTCAATGGTCTTCAACAAGTAAAGTCCACTTGTACTAAGTTTTGTTCTTGTCTTCTGTCAACATAAATAAAAAGGCAAGTTCTCTCAGGCAGGTTGACCTGAGAAGAGTTTGTCCGTTGCGTGACGTGACGCTGTGAACCGCTGCACCCCCGTTGTTAATCAATCACCACCCACTGGTGGACGAGAGGTGGTGACAGTGTCTCTGCCGTGTACACTTCATGTAGCCCGGAAATCTGATCTTTTTCCAAACACACTTTTCTCTCTTCCCACTCTCGTCCCCTCTCTCTTCTTTACAGAATGTGGAGCTGCCAGACTCCTTCACTGCAGAGCTCAAAGATCTGCTGGAGGGGCTGCTGCAGAGGGATGTGTCCAAGAGGCTCGGGTGCCAGGGCCGAGGGTATGACATGCACACACACACACGAGCATGTACACACAGTCTTAAATCTTAGTGTACACACGCTGGTGTGATATTCAATAAATCCGTCAGACTGAGATGTCTGGAGGTGAATAGAGGAGGTGGTCCCGTCTGAGGCCGTCCATGATTAATGTGAAGTCCAGGTCGTGACTGTGTTCATCGGTGCTGTCATGAACCATCAGCTCAGGACTAAACCACGGAGACTGATCACTGTCTGCACTTGGCATTTGACAGGATTATCAGAGGGATTGATGGGGAGGAAGTGACTGACAAACACTGCCACCTAGTGTAACAAATCATATTTATTAACTTCCACTCTTCCGTGCTCTCCACTGTTTCCATCCACTCATTACAGAGCCCCAGAGGTGAAAGAGCATCAGTTTTTCAAAGGCATCGACTGGCAGCAGGTGTACCTGCAGAAGGTGAGTACTTTTGTTTTACTCTCGTCTTTTCCTTCTTTTTAAAAACATATTACATTAAAGTTACGACGTGCACACAGTATCCGTCACGGGAATAATCGCATCAATTTCCTGAGGTGATTTGATTGGGTTCTAACATTTCGAGGATTGACTGCTTTACCTCCTGCCATTTAAAACTTGAAAATGAAAATCTAAGTGTTATTTTATTTGTTTTTCTGTGTTTTTCTAAGAGCAGGAAATGACTTATTTGACGGTATACTGTCAAATAAAACGTTTTTCTGTTCTTATCGGCCATTATCTGTGACACAATGAATGACAATGAAAACATATATATTTTGTCTTCTCTAAGTGTTTCCCAACTTTGTTTGAGCCACAGCACGTTATATGACGTATTTGAAATCCCACATCGCACCAGCAAACGAAAATGTCACACAAACAAATGTGTGTCATGAAATATAAAGTTATTTGTTTTTTATCTGCTGCCCCCATCTGGAAGGGTATATAATCGTTCTGCCCAACACAGTCGGAGGCGAATGAAAACAATTTATTTTCTGTAAATAAATAAAAGTTGTTATTAACTTGTTAACTTATTAATTTAATTTGGATATTTTTTCCCATCTCACCTCAAAGTCAGAATGCACTTATCTAATCAATAGGATACTTTTTTTTTAAAATTCAATTAGAAGCGGTAATTTTTTAAAATATTGTAACCAACAACACTTTTCCGAGGTTTGTCTTTAGCAGAGACTTTCTCTGCGTTTCCTCTGCCTCTCCCTGAGTCTTTATCTCTTTCTCTGTTGTCCTAGTTTATAAACACGTTTGTCTCCCCCCTCCCCTCTGTTCCTCAGTACTCGCCACCACTGATACCCCCTAGAGGAGAGGTGAATGCTGCAGATGCTTTTGACATTGGCTCATTTGATGAAGAGGACACCAAGGGCATCAAGGTGAAACACACTTCCACGCGTCCCAGCGAAGCAATTATGATCTGCTTCTCTTTGTACCACGACTATCCTGTGGCTTTTCTACATATTTCCTCTTAATTAGTTTTTTAAAATGAGGTAAGCCAACAGCAACAACAATAATAATGACATAATCATCTTAAATAAAATAAATTAATAAGTAATGAGTAGGTAAAAACTAATAAATTGTATTGTCAAAAAAAGTATTTATTTTGTATTTATAGAGAAGTGTCTCAACCAATACTTCAGCTCTTTACTGACATGTTCACCACTGACAAACAGAGACACTCCATCTACAAAATAAAAAAATGAAACAGTGGTCTTTTTGGGGACAAAAAACTCCCTGCGTTTTTGTCATGACTTCTTTGGCTGCTTTAACCAGTGTCTCAGGCCAAGTTAAACAACACAAGGATGTAAGTAAACAACCATTCATTTGAAACTCAACATCCTCTGCCTCTATCTGTCTATTTGCTTCAATATGTTGGATTCATAATGATGTTTATTCAAAAAATAATCATAACACAAGAAAAGAAAAAAAAAAAAACCTCATCAGTTGAAAGTTTCATGACATTCCTGCAGACCCTTTGCTTTATTTCAAAATGTCTATGAAAGTTTCATGACATTCCTGCAGACCATTTGCTTTATTTCAAAATGTCCCCAAAAGTTGTTTTTAGCAACATAGATAGATTAAACTTTTTTTTTTTTAAACAACCTTTCTTAGGGGGCGGAGCTAATTGCTGATCCCTAAAAACTTCTACATCATTGCAGATGCCTAAGCAAGGCTTTACGGAAGGTAGTCAGCCAACACCGAGAGGAGTGAAGCCTGATTGGATTACAGTGCAGTAGGAAGAAGGCTAACCTGGCTAGCGTTAAACATGATTGGATTATTACTGCTTCTCAGTTTCAAAAGCAATTACTGCAAACTGGTCCAGTGGGCACTGGGAAACGTTTTTCTTTTTTATCGCCTGCATGTGTGAGCATGTCACATAAATGGTGCCATTTATTAGAGTTCACACTGAAGATTGTACAGCACACAGTCTGTGCTTCATTCTGCGGGTCTATCCATCTCCAACCAGCACAACATATCCAGGGAATAACACTAATGTGGTGGAGAAATGTTCCGTCCATGTCGTGCTCGGTCTGTCTGTTCTCATAATGTCACGTCAAGGCAGAACCTTGAGAGAAAACCTGTTGTTCCTTTCTCATCTGTGAACAGTTTGTTGAAACGTTTATTATTCAGTGGGAGTACACACGGCTGAAACAGGTTTGACCCTCGTTTTCACAAGGTAGTAATTATTAAATAGTGATATATAAGTAATATATTATAGAAATTGATATTTCTTTACATATTTGTTAGCATTGTCTGTGGGTCTACAAAGGGAGTTCCTGACCAGAAGCTGATGCTGTTTGGAAACCCCTGATGTACGACATCTTTTAGTCATAGGCTTATTTAATTGGAACTCGGTTTCTATTCAGTGTTCATTGTTTATTTATATATTTTTATTTTGTTGTTGCTGGCCTGATCAGTGTGAGTTTGGAAAACATTTGTTTGGATTTTTTTTTTTATTTGACGTATTTTATTATTCATATTAGTGTTAGTGGAGTAGTACATTTTGTCAGAAGCCTGAGGAACTGAAGCCTTTTTGATGCTGACATTTATCTCTGAGCAGCGAGTGACAGTGGTGTTCAGATGCGTACACTCCGCAGCCATCTCCAAAGTTCTAAGAGAAATCATTACATCATAAAAAAAAAAAAGAAAACTCCTGCCCACTGCTTTGAATCACAAGAAACAAATGGTTTCCTCACAGCACTCACGTTGTGGTTGTTTCCTTCGAGCATTAATATTAACGTGCCCGTTGATGATTTCATGAAATGGCATGAAGTGTTTGTTGGTGTTTCCCTGAACGGAGCTGCTCATTAACTCAGAAGCCGTGATGGAAGTAATGGTTGTGCAGGAGTGAGGGGAGTGATCAGCTCTGGTCCCCTGATGATAATCCACTCAGAATAAAATCAATCTTCCTTTATGAAAGTTGGTTTCTTAAAGAGACAGTCACACCCATGTGTTGCATTCGCTGCACTCACTGGTCCAATTTTCCTACTGAACTAGGTTTTCAAACTCATCCCTTTCATCATCACATTATCTGTACGGTATAATTAGACTAATTATCCCTTTGTAGTTCAATACTGTGACGCCAAAAAGGTCGAAAACATACAGTGTCTGTTCATGTTATGTTACATGTTAGTCAAATGAATACATGTATCTATAATTACCATGTCAGCTTAGTGTCACAGCATGATCAGCTGTAGTAAACAGGCTACGCACACAACAACAACCCATAGAATAATTTTAATAATAATAATAATAATTGAATGATTCACTATTTAACAACAAAACTGCTACAAAACTCTACCAACGATTATAAGTTAATGAAGTTCACGTCATCAAAAGGCTCACAGTCACAACGTCCATCTGTTTCCAGACAACAATTCCACGTTCTGCTCTGTGTCTCCGCCTCTTTGTCCTCAGCTGCTCGACAGTGACCAAGATCTGTACAAGAACTTCCCGCTGGTGATATCAGAGCGTTGGCAGCAGGAGGTGGCCGAGACGGTGTACGAGGCGGTCAACTCAGACACAGACAAGACAGAGGCTCGCAAGAGGGCCAAGAACAAGCAGCTGGGCCACGAGGAGGGTAATGATGACAGCCGGTCAGAAGGCCGGGAGAACAGGTTACAACCATTACAGTTGTTTTTTCAACGGCAGCTCCTGACCACATCTGTCTCTGTGCAGACTACGCCCTGGGTAAGGACTGCATAATGCACGGCTACATGCTGAAGCTAGGAAACCCGTTCCTGACTCAGTGGCAGCGCCGCTACTTCTATCTCTTTCCCAACCGCGTGGAGTGGAGAGGGGAGGGCGAATCACGGGTGAGTTCACCTTACCAAACTGTTTGGATAGGTTTTTGTTTTTTTACTAAGTCGTGACGTCCTCTGGTTTTACTAATACTACCTGTCTAGATCAGGGGTGTCAAACCAAAATTAAAAACTGGGACGAAGTCGCGGGCCAAACATAATATTTATTTAAAAAGTGATGGCAATCGTGCGTGTTTCCCCTTCTCTCCAGATCTGTAATGTAGAATTTTTTCATATGGAAACAAAGTTTTTAAAATTTTGAGTAAACATTAATTCTGGAACAACCAAAATTTAATATTATAAACACATGAGGAAATTAAGTTTGAAATGCAGCCTTTCAAGTTCCTTTTCAATGTAAACACACACAACAAAAAAACAAAATGTATGTGGTAAAACACCACTAATACTACAAATCCCATATACTAACGGGGCCGACTCTAGTACGTATTTGATATGATCTCGCTGGCCAGATATAATTACACTGCGGGCCTGAGTTTGACACGTGTGGTCTAGATGTGTCAGTCTGTCCAATGTCTGTCTGTCTCTCTGTCTGTCACTCTGTCTTTTCTCTGGGACAGATCGATCCTTGGTACTGTCCCTGCTCTGTTTGTCAGTGCATGATTATGTTTGTCTGTCTGTCTCTGTCCTCACTCCAAACTCAAGGAGACATGGCTGAAACATTTAAAACAGCTAAGAGACGGGGTGAGTATTGCAAGAGTGCGTCAACGTCCTTGCTCTTGTCCTCTCCGTCCCTGATGTCTCAAAGTAGAGTCCGCCCTCTGTCCTCCCCTGCTTCAGACCTACGGTCGTGTCCAAAGAATTCACATTCAAATGAATTTTCCTGACATGCTGCTCATTCAGGGGGTGTTGGTGTCCATGCTGCCTGTCTGCATTCACATAAGGTCGGCGTTCATGAATCTGGGTTTTGTATCAGTGATTTAATCAAAGGCAAAATGCACGTCAAAGCAGAGTTGTTTCCAAAGTGTTTGCAGTGTTTCCTGACTTTGGTCTTGCACAGGAGACACTGTCGTATGTCCCATTTCCACCAGAGCTGTTTGATCCACTTCAATCCATCCAGATGATCTACTTTGTTTGGGAAGGTCTGAGAGCTCTGCTGAACTCTGATGTGGACCAAACAAGTCATTTCTGGTCTGCCTGCTGACGTAGGTCTCAGTTTGCTTGCAGTGGGAAATGCATCAGTACATTTTTAAAGTGAACCGAACCAAAGCGAACCCCGTCCACCTGAATTATCCTGGTGTGTAATTGCTCTACATTAGTGTTGGGTAGAAGTTAGCTCACAGTCCTTTTGAGCAGATGAACAAAGTCAGTTTGTTTTCATCCACTGAGGCAGTTTCAGCCGCTCAGTCTCCTCCACAGCTCTGCGCTGGCTTTAGTTTGTTGACCTGGATGGCAGCTGTGCACCAGCGTAGCTTCACCCTCTCCACTCCAGACCTGATGGTTCACATTCGGACCTCTCCTCTGTCGGTCTTTAACTTTGCTCACACTCACTGGCCGTCTTTGTTTGCAGCAAAATCTGCTGACCATGGAGCAGATCGTGACCGTGGAGGAGACGCACATCAAAGACAAAAAGTGCATCCTGCTGCGAATCAAAGGAGGGAAGCAGTTTGTGCTGCAGTGCGAGGTACGGCTGCTGTTGTTTGACTGCTCTGTTTTGAAACATTGCGACATGTCGCTTATCCTGTCGTGCGTTTGTCTGTCCTGGTCTTGTCCTCAGAGCGACCCAGAGTTCGTGCAGTGGAAGAAAGAGCTGACGGAGACTTTCACAGAAGCCCAGAAGTTGTTGCGTCGCGCTCCCAAAGTCATCGGAAAAGGCCGCGCCGGAGTGGTGGAGCTCTCCAAACCTCCCCTCACACACCGCAACAGCAATGGACTGTGAACAGGAGCGCACACATTCACATACGAATACACAGATACCAGACACAGACACACAGATAAACACACACACACACACGAAAAAAACAAAACAAAACAAAAAAACAACAACAACACACACTTAGTCCCTTCACGCCGCTCTCCTCTCATCAGCTACCAGACCTTTGCTCGGTTATGCATCATGGTGTGTGTGAACAGAGTATGACCACCAGCCTCTTACACACCACACACACTCTCAGACACACACACACACACATACACACACATACTCACTATAATGACCAACCAGAAGAGCTTTCTAAAAGAGCTTGTTTTTGCCACAATACCTTGCCACTCTTGGAGAGAGAGAGAGAGAGAGAGAGAGAGAGAGGGGAGGCACTAATAAAACTGTTGAGATTTTGAAGTAGAAGAATCTCTGCATAAATGTGATGAGGATGTGACCCGCCCGCCCACTCCTTTGCTCTGCTAACCCCTCCCCTCCCCCCGTCCCCCGTCCCTGTCCACCTGGCTGTGTTTGTACTGGATGAGTCCAGAACCCGGCGATGATCAGACGTCCAACAGCCTCTGAGCCCCAGCTTCTGTTTACTGTGAGAAACACAGAGGAAAAAAACTGCTTCTCCTCTTGTCTCCCCTCCCCACCTTATTACAGTATGTGCATAAAGTGCCAACATTAATATTTACTTGAAATCACCTGAGCGTCACCCCTTCTCCTCCTGCTATCCAGCCATTACACACGTAACACACACACACACACACACACATATATTCACTCGCAGAAAGGAGGGAGGGTGTGTGCCCGTGGCCGTGTTGATGTGTGACTGATCATTCCAGAGCAGAAAAGCAAGAAGAAACAAGGATCACAGAAAGACTCTCCTCTCTGATTGGCTGTTGTGCAGAGCCAGTTACCATAGAGACTGATATTTCAGTGGGTGACAGAGCGCTGCTTGGTTGCCATGGAGATTAATATATACATAAAACATACATATATTTATATATGTGTATATAAATATATGTATGCACACACACACACACACCGTGGGACTTTGACTACAACAGTTGTAACTGTCACGTAATGAAGGTTGTGAAAAGGATGATATAGTGGTGGGGGGTGGTGAGGGGTGACTGTATATAAGCAGCCCCCACCCCATTGTCTTTGGTTTTTTTTTTTGGCTCTGCGTCTACAGTGTGAAACGTTTGCGTTATCTGGGGCTGTCTCTGTATTGGCTTGTCTGTGAGTCTGTCCGGGCTTTTGAGGGAGGGAGGAAAGAAAGCAGATGAGGGGAGGCCGGGGGAGGGGGAGGGAGGAGGGAGACACTGCATTACCTCATTCGAACTGTCGACTCTTGTTTTTCTTAAACATGGCCAGGTTTAGCTTCTGACCATCACATCTCTGCTGCCGCCTGCTCTGGTTTCTCAACCTGTGGGAGCAGGTCAGCTGCTGAGGACGCTGGACTTTTAGGAGAAGAAAGCAGCAGAGAGATGATTCAAAGACAAGCCCTGCTTTACACGCAGCAAATACGGCTCACCTCAGCTTGTCACACCCTCATCTACAAACTAGTTGGTTTGGCCTACATTTCCCAGAATTCCACATAATAAACTACATGGCCAAAAACAAAAACAGCCGGTGAAGGGTTTTTCCAGGTGATAAATCAAGATGGTGTTGAGTGCAGTCATCAGTCTTAATCTGTAGACATAGAAAAGACAAAAGCTGAATTAACATTAACTGTAAACACATTCCTGAGAATTTACTGCAGAGTTGTTTTCATATTTCCTTTTGCTACATTTTTTTTTGTTACCATAAGGGCAACAATTGGTACTTTTAGAAAACCGAATGCCAACAGAGGATGAAATCTGATGTGTTGATTAGTGACAGTTCTGATGCAGCCACATGGTGCATTTGAGGCCATTGGAATTCCAGCGTTTTGACATTTATGATCACTTTTACCTAAAAAAAATCTGTTTTGGTTTCATTTAAATGTTTGTCTGAGGGGTGCGTCTGCCTCCGTCTGTGGGACGCTGCATCATGTGATCATGTCAGTGCAGGTGCCAGCCAACCAGATTACAGTACAAGACACAAGTCACACTACTATGCCATGGTTTTGGCTCTTGATCCAACTACATCCAAAAATCTCAAATTGAGAGAAAAAAGTGAGAACATGATGAGTGATATTACCAAAACATAGTCGTAATATTCCAGGATTATTGCTAAAAAACTTCACATTAACAAGTTATTTTAAATAGCCAATTAAAACAGGCCAAACTTCATACATTTTTATTAATCATAAATAAATCCTACAACGTTCAGAGATTAGGATTTAGTTCCTTGTACGAACTTTATGGTGAACCAGTAGATGAAGTTCCAACCCACATGGATTTGGCTCCTTAACTTACACCTTCATATGTGTGGAATTTCAGTCATCATAGATTTAGGATTTAATTTTGTTAAATGTACGGCTGTTTTCTTGTAATTCTTTGAATTTATTCCCATAACATTTCGACTTCATCCTGGTAATCTTACAACTTTACTCTCATGGATTTACTTAATTTTTATTTTTGCCAATTTGGCTTCAAAAATTTTATTTATTTATTTTTTTTGCAAGTGTTTCATTTGGCCAGTCTGAGAATTTCTGTAGTAAACAGAAGGTTGAACAAGTCGGAAGGACGACCATCGGTCAACGTGCAGATGATGACCGCGTCTGTCTGTTGATCAGTAATTTGTAAATCACTCTTTTGACACATCTGCTCAGTGTAATCTCATCTGATGTGGGGACAGGGAGGTGTAGTGAGAGAGATGTTCACCAGACGGACCACCAGTGTTACTCTGATCATTAGGTGACAGGAAATGAACAACGACACGTCACTGCAGTGTTGAGTTTCCAGCTCCGTGGACCAGAGCGGTCAGTGACAGGTTGTGCTGCTTTATTCAAAGAATTGTGTTTCAGGGTGATCGTTTTTCTTAAAGTCCATTTCTAGTTGTGTTTATCTGTGTTATATTCTTAAGTCTTCACTGAATGTGACCATGTGCTTTACCAGAGGGGGCGTCGCAGGTGTCATCACGGTCCAATGAACGTAGAGCGCAGCGGTGGAAAGGCAAACCAGCTTCTGGTTTTGACTCAGTCATTAATTTCAGGGTTTTTGTTTGTTTGTTTGTTTGTTTGTTTGTTTTCTTCCTTCATGCAGTATAACGTCCCTGTCTGTGATTTCCCTGCATTTCCACAGCTTTGCCAGTCTGACCTGCAGTAGGAAAAGGCTCATTTGTTGTTTTTCTTTTTTTCCCCGCTTTTGTCTCTGTAGCTTTTACAAGTCAGGGGGAGATTATCATCTTCTAGAGAAATGTGGTCACCTCTCAAGGTGTCTTTTATTGTTGTAAACCAAAATGGTTTTTAATTGTTTTCATTGAAATTGTACGTCGTTGCACCTTTTTAGCCCAGTGTGTTACCTAATAGGTGTTTAATGTGCCAAATAACTGTCGCTGATGGAATAGAACCAACGGAATGCCTCCTTTTCCTCAACATAGGACCTGTCTGTCTGTGGAGAAACTACAGATCACACACACACACACACACACACACACATACGTACGTAAATGTGCTTGGGATAAGTTTTTTCAAAGGGTACAAAAACTGTGACCAAACATTTGCTAGAGTTTTTTTGTGTGTGTGTGCCCTGTTATGTGTGTTGTAACATTTTGCCATCACAACACACACACACACATACATGCCCATTTAATTGACTTATTTTCCAAGTGTATGTTTGTGTACTTGTATGTGTGCTTCTCAATCACTTTATATGTTAATCTGGTTTGTTTTTTTTTTTTTTTTTTCTTCTCTCTTGTGTATCTTTGGTCCTAAACCCATTCTCAGCTCAGATGAGACCATTTAAAAAGGTTGGCATATAGGAGAAAAAATTAAAGTATATATAAATATATGTGTATATAAAATGAGAAAATGCTTTAGGTTTATTTAAAAATTTAACGTAGAAAACAAAATGAAATTGTCGGGGGAAGTTTGGGGCTTTTTCTTTTTTTTTTCGTTGATGTGAGTATAATTGTTTGTGGTGAAGACTTCAGCTCGAATCTTGCACATAAAGACTTTAGATATTGTACCTGCGAGTTACAGATGATTATTTTTGTTTAAATACAGGACTTCTTGCTCTTTCATGTTTATTGCATGTGCAAGGAGCTCTCCCTTTTCCTCGCTTTCTGTCTCTCTGTCTTTCCACCTCTCCACACGTGGGAGCTCCAGGCTGAGGGCTCACTGTAGAAAACCCTGCAATTTACACCCATCATAAACTCAATGTTCTGTTTTTGGTTCATTTGATTTTTGTTGTTTTTTGTTTTGTTTTTGTTTTTTTTCATACGCTGCAGACAAACACAAATACTACTGGCTTTGGGTTATTACCGTTAAGGATATGATAATACTGATATATAATTGATAATATTCAATGATTATTAGTAAATTTATTTTATTTCAAAGATTTTTTTGTGTGTGACAGGTAGGAAGTTGCGTGTTGGACTGCTTGTACAAAACGATTCATGAATAAAAATCTTTTTTTCCGTGTTGCTTCTTGTCAAACTTGTTTCTTTAACAGTTTCTGATACTACCTCATATACACTATTAACCCTTTCATGCATGACGGTCACTACAGTGGACAGCTATTAAAATGTCATTTTCTATGATAAGAATAGGTTTTGACGGCAGTGTTGCATATAAGCCTCTACAGTGGATGCCTGAAAATCACCCAACACTGCCATACAGTGGTCAGCCTTTGCAACTGCAGAATAATTGTGTTAACATTCAAAAAGAAAATTTGGTGTATCAAAACAGAACCAAATCAGTTCTTATTTTTATGTCTAAAAACACATAAAAACATTTTTTTAACTCAGTATATCATGGGTATATATGGGTCATGCATCAAAGGGTTAATTTGTATACGCACAATTTATAGCTTTATACATACATATTAATGTTTATACATATTTTTATATGCTTATTTGTTTATATATTTACTATATGTGTACATAGTTGGGTTCTTAGACATTGGAAAATATGTTGAGCTCGTATACATTATAAATGATTTTAAGTAAATGTACACACATGCGTCTTTATGCGTGAATATATATATATATATATATATATATATATACAGTACATATCGAAAATACTCAACTACGAATGAACCTTGTTCATGTTTCAATACAACACTGACCCCTGCTGACAAGACGAAATATTTTCGAAATCAGAGCCAACATTAAAATTTCAATCAAGCGTGAATGGAAACCTGTTTGTAAAGTTTTTGGTTTCTGTCCAAAGTTGTAAAATGATCATAAACCATCAATGAGTTTTAGTTTTTCAGGTACTTTTTGCCTTGTCCAATCAGCAAAGATCTATACAAGATGCAATCCATTATTCAGCTTGACCACTAGATGTCGCTAGATTTCACATCACGGTAGTGGCCTCCTCCTCCTCCTCCTCCACCTCGCTGCAGCTGGAGCTGTCAGTTAAAGTGGACAGCTGATGTGGTGCTCACCTACATGACCACTTGTGCCCTCTGGTGGCGTCTGTGACTCACACACTGACAGTCATGAAGCATTAAAAGCAACGACAGACAGCGTTTAAAAAAGTCGTGATCTGTGGATGACACCGAGTGTGTTTTTGTGGTGTTTTACGTCTCATCCTGTGTCCTCTAGTGTCCAGCGGGTCACCCCCCTCCCCTTCCCCCCTCTCCCTACTGCTGCCTGGTGCCACAGGTATTTATAGAAAAAGTCTGTCAACTCTGTCCTGCTGCTTATCTCTGTGTATGTGTGTGTGTGTGGGGGGTAAGGGGTGTCTCTATTTCGGACTTGTATTTCTACACTCTTCTCTCGGTCTGTTTCCCCACAGTGTGTGTGCATTCGTGAGTCTCTGGCCTCGGAGCATCGGCCGTTAGCCAACTGGATCTGTTAGCCACGACGTTGACTTTTTCTTGAGGTATGTCTTCGTCGCTGATGTTATTGTGTGGCGTTTGTTGAATGTTGGAAAAGTGAGAGCGTTCTTCAGACTTGGACAGGACGACTGCCAGGGCCCGGGTGTTTGTGACACCAGACGGTGGCGTTAGCCAGATTATAACGCAGAAATTATACGGTCTTTCTAATCAAGCGACAATCAGATTGTGGAGAGAAGCTGGAATATGATTGGTCGATTATTGACAGCGGTTTATGTTTTCACTTGAACCTAAATTTAAAGATACATTTACAGTCGGTTTTCAGTTTCTAAACTAAACTAAACTAAACTAAAAAATATTTCTGTCTTTCTGCTCTTTTTTTAAGAAGTTGAACCAGTTTTGGCAAACTGCCATGTTTTACTTTGATAGTTGTTAAGCTGTTCAGACAAGGCTAATACTTTTGTATTAGCTCGTAGCATTAGGAAGGTTTAGACGCGTTTATGTTCTGTGTCCGTCTTAGCCTTGCCTCATACACTCAAAGTATAAAAGTACTTTTTAACTTTTATTAAATATTTTTCTTACAGAGTACTTATACCCATGGAAGGAAACTGTATTTCATATTTTAAGGTTTCATCTGAGATAATTCCTACTGCAGCGACTGTGGCTACATTTCTATTTCGTAGACCTACCTCGTATGACTATGACTATTGTTTATTACAATGACTATTTCTTCCTGGATCTTTAAAAATGTCATCATATCATCACTATTACAACTGAAAGTGATTTGGCCCTAAAACTAATTTTATATATTTTTTGTTTCTGATTAATTAATGCAATGGCCGAATCTAGACCGAATCTGTCCATTTAAACCTTCTAACTTGTGACGATAAGAACTTTCAGTCAGCTGACCTGCTACTCTAATGTCCTAACAACTCTGAAAAACATCTCACATAGATTGTCAAATGTTTAAAGAAAGACTATAACACCATGAACAATAAACAGATTCTGAGTTACACAAGATCCCCAGTTGGAAGTTTCTGGGTGGCCAACAGTAATTCTGAATCTCTTACTAGACCAACAGGAGAATAAAAATTTGATTCGTCAACTGCCTTTTCTATACAGTTTGTGTCTTCAAATCTTCAAATTTAAGGATCATATTGGAAATTTCCGCATTGCGGGATGAATAAAGACTTCCTGTTCTACCTCGTCCCCACTAGCTGTGCTCTTGGACTCAAAAGTGTTAGCATTACACATAAAAACGTGTCAAACTAAAACCTAACTGAGACTTTATAGAACGCAATCAGTGAGTCGACTTTCTAATAAAACACCTTGGTTAGTAAAATATTTTAATACTGGTTCTATTTCTGTAACTCGAGCAAAACTGTTTGGACATTGTCAAGTTATGAATGTAGCTCTGGAGACTAGCGATACCATCTGAGGATACACATCAGGGCGTGTACTGTATGTACAGGGCTCGATGATGTGTGGAGCTGTACTCCTTCAACAACGTCAGGACAAAACTATAATTACGCACACTCAAAAAGATCCAGTGAACAGATCAGTCGAGGGTGAGGGTGAGGGTGAGGGTGAGAGGGAGACCTTTCTTTAACCACTTGTTTCCCTCCGTTGTCAGGTTGTGTGTTCTTCACCACACGCACAAACATTTACAAACAGAGCTCAAGAACACTGCTGATCACAACTGGCTGTCACCGGTACAACCCACACCCACGAAGCGCACACACTCACGCACGTCTCACCCGCCTGGGCATCCTTCCACCCCCTCCAGTCCGGCCATGGCTTTGTCTTCACGTTTAAAACTGTGGGAGCAGAAGGGAGGTGCACTTTCTCTGCATGCTGTGCCGATGCACGTTTGTGTGACTGTGAGCTTTGATGCTAGAGAACGAGGTAAACACAATCTAACTGGCTGACATTGTAAACTGTGACTGTGAAATCTGCATGTGGATGTTCATTGATTTATTTTGTGTTTTTATTTTTCAACTTTAGGGTTTTTTAATATCGGAGAACTCACCTGGTCGAGTAGTTCTTTTAGGTATTCTAGATACAGCCCTCTAGTGGGCTGTATCTAGAATACAGGTGACTAAAACGTGGGTCAAGACAGCACATTCTGTAATCTTCCAATGCTACCTGTGCTCTTGTATCACGATCTTGTATGTCTTTATAAGTACTTCATAGTAACATTTTGACTCAAGGTCATTTTATAGAGACCAGATCGGTCTGTTGTGTACATTTCTATTGAACAAGCCTGTTTAGAAAGCCCCACATTTTGTGTTTGTGTTTACCAAATATATAAGAATCTACAAACAAGATGCTAAGATGGCTGATTAATGATAAACTAAAGTACAAATGTAGGATTGTTGAGTTGAGGAGAAACAAGGTAAGTGGCAACTGTTTCACAGAATAGGTGACAGGAATGGATAGGATTTTGACATCAAGTGGTGTTAGTTTGTCACAACTAAACTTTAAGAACCTTTATTTTTTAAATGTCGTGCTAACAAACACAAATATCTGAACCATTTAAGTTATATATTTTTATTTATTATTATTATTTTTTTATTTATTCAAATGTGCTAACAAACACAAATATCTGAACCAAAGTTATATTTTTATTTTTTATTATTATCTTTTTTTATTTATTCAAAGAAAACACATGAATTGAGTTTGATTGAAGGATTTGTCTTGCATGCACTGATGTGAACTGTGTGACCTGTGTGAAAAGGACTTTTTTTTTTGGTAATATTTTGGTATTTTTTGACAATGAACTAAACCCAACGTAACTGCTCATACATTGAAAGCCTTGTAAGACTTGATTTGTAAAATCCCTCTAAATGTTTTTGCCCAGTCTGTCTTGCCTGGTGTACTTGTTGGGTTTTATTGTCATACACTCACAGTGCAGGACCCATGAGTCATAGCTGTCGATGATTCTACAAAAAGCAAACACATAAACCATTTGACAGATAATTCTTAGATGAAAAAGAATTTCAATGTTTAGGAATTAAAGTACAAAAACATTTTTTAGAAGTTATTTTGAAAACAGAACAGCAAGAGCACCCCATGCTGCACGCTATTTAATAAAAGAAATCATTTGGCAAAATTAAAGGTAAAGCTTTTAAAAATGAATAATAATCTAACTACCTTATATGTTAGATATATGTTTGTTAATATATATCTTAATATAAAATAATACTGAATGTACTGAAACAATGTACTGAATTATGGAACAACTCCACAAAACAAGTATTTAAAGTACAAGGACAAGTCAGCAACAGTTTGACTCCTGTACTGTACTTTAAATCCTGTCTACTCTGTGGACCTTGTCCTTAAATACTTTAATCCTGACAAACATCTTGACGTGGGTCAGAGACGTCCCACAGCATCTGCTGTTGGGAACTCTACTGCCCCCTACAGAGCCCACCAAGACCTGTATCTCTGTGTTTGTTTAATTCGTTCCGCTCTCACCAACAACAGATAAAAGAGGAGAACAAACCCGTGCCCACAGCTGTGCCTCCTCCACCGCCGCTCTCGGCTCTTCCAGGGGGCTTCCTCAAACAGCTGGTCCGAGAATCAGAAAAGGAAACCAAACAGAAGGAGCCGGAGGTCAAAGAAGACAAAGCTGTGAGTGACCTCCTTGTTTATCCTTCTTCACAAGTCGATTGTCTTGATACAGTTTTATTGTTTTTCATAATTTAGTCCTTTGCGGTATTTTTGGATTTAGGAAAAAAAAACACTTTTTTGACAAATATGTCTGCGGCAGCTGTTAGTCACTGATGGACATCGCAGGTAATGAGACCACAGGCCAACTGAGTACAACACAGAGCAACAGTGTTCTGTGGAGCTGTGCATATAACACAGCATAAACTCTACCCTATTTTGATAAGGTAAATGAAAGAAATGGGTTCATTAAATTTTATTAAGCAATTTACTCCCCTGCTCCTTCTGTCGCCCCGTCACTTCCTGGCACCCATAAAAATGACTGAGGTGAAAAATGTGATATGATTCTGTGGTTGATTTCCTTTGTGTTTAAGGTATTGATAAAGCTTAAAGCACTTTTTTAATTCAACTTATTTCTCTAAATACACTTATACAAATTGATTGTGTCTGTTAAAAGGAAAGGTTTCTAATTCAACTTATTTCTCTAAATACACTCAAATCAATACACAAATTGATTGTGTCTGTTAAAAAAAGGAAAGGTTTAACGTTTTCCTCTTCATCCTGTCTCTGTGCTAAGCTAAGCTGCTATTTAAAACCATAGACACAAATAACAACGTTTAAATAACTCCCTTTTTACAACTCTACAATTAAGGTTTGACTTATGTCATGTCAGTTCACAGTTAAAGATACATTTTCTTACTGAAATTCTACTAATATGGATAAATGATTTGCTGATATTATTGAGTGAAATGAGGCCTACATTTCCACAGACTTTATTCATGCACATGCTGTTTTTCTCTGCAGGCTTTCAGACTCTCAGTTTTAATTTTCCGTCTGTGTTATTAAAGGGCCATTCAGTTTCACACCTGATTAACTCCACCCTCGATTTTTGCCACTGCAGCCGAGCAAACTGAGCGACATCCTGGTGCAGCAGTTCCTCAACCCTGACCAGACTCCTCCCATCCTGGAAGCTGAGATGGCCCTCCGAGCCGAGCAGCTGAACAGCAACAGTGAGCACGTGTGCAACTCTGAGCCGCCAGGAAACAGGTCCTCGACCCAGAGGTACATCCTCACTCCTGAATCTGAAGGCAACCAGCAGGCCAAACAGGAAGTGAAGCTTCTAAAACCTCAGCATCAGCACATGGGGTCAGAAAAGAAGAGCCAGAAGTTAGCACAGGCTGACCAGAGCAGGAGGAGAGAGGAGGAGAAGATGGAGGAGAGGCAGGAGCCAGAGGGCAGGCAAGCAGACTCGGTTGTGACGGAGCGTAAGAAAGAGGTATGTTTGTTTGGTCGTCATAGTAATCACACAGTAACGGGTGAGTATTTAAAGAACCTGAAGTCGAAGCTTTAATAAATCCATGCTGGGGGTTGAGGTGGTGTTTTAGGCTTGAGTGACTTTGGTGAAACTAAAAATCTTTCCTGAGGTGTGTAGATAACAAACGGTTAAAAGAGTTAGAATATGAATTTGAATTATTTTCAAAAAAGAATTAACATGATTAACATGTTCATTTTTGATCCCCTTCTTTTAATCACATCAGCCAATGGAAGAAACTGAAGGTGGGATTCTGTAAAGTTTGTTTTTGTCTCTGTCTCAGGTGAAGGACGTGTGGTATGAAGCTGGAACCGTGTGGTTAGTCCAAAAAGATGGCTTTGCCCTTGGTGAGAGAAAAAAAAAAACTTCTTACTTATTATGTTTGACAGAAATTGAGTAAGACAGGTGCCCAGTAAGTGGGTGGTGATCCAGCAGTAGATCACAGAGGCAGTGAACCATGTACTGTAAAGATTAAATCCTGTTGTATCGTACAGATACATTCTTTAATCAGGACCAGTCAACAACTGTCCTTTCTGATACAGTAGAAGTTTTTACAACAGGTCCAATAATTATTCTTTCATTTCAGCCACTCAGCTGAAACCAGACGAAGGAACGCCAGAACTGCCAGAGGGCCGAGTTAGGGTCCGTCTGCAAACTGATGGCTCACTACATGATGTTACAGAAAATGAAATTGAGAAGGTAAATGACCTCAAATCACTCTGTCTGGGGTTAAAAGGTCAGGCATTGGTGGATTGGGTGATCAGAGTCAACATCTCTTTATTTAGACAGCCATAATTTATATATAATGCATTACTTGTACTGCTATAAAACATGGATTGGTCCTTTAACATGGCTGTCTCTTGCACAGTGTAACCCATCAGAGCTGGACCTGTGCGATGACCTGAGCGACCTCCATAGTGTGAACGAATGTGGAGTTCTCCACACGCTGACCAGTCGAGCTCGGGCTAACCTGCCACTGACGGACGCTGGGCCAAACCTGGTCAACTTATGGCCCCCGCTGCAGACCCACAGCAAGGTGAGGGTCACTGCATCAGCATCACTGTGTCACCACTGTCACCGCTGTCACCACTGCTGTGTTGTTGTTCCTCCTGTTCTGTCTGAATTCTTCTTTGTGTCCCTCACCCCTTCTCTCTCTCTCTCTCTCTCTCTCTTTCTCTCTCT